ACAAATATAATGAAAAACCATGTGAAATTTGTGAATGCCTCCCTTTGTCTGGAATTTTGTCCTTATTTTGAACAGAAGTCAGCCTTCCCCCTAACTTGTACCTTTGGGTGCAAGTTTGACAGTATCCCTCTTTAAATGGGGTGGAGCTCAGAATGAAACACTACTTGGTTTCACAGATAAATTTCTTCTCGTATATTATTCCCATCAACTGCCTGCCATTCAATCCAAAGCTGTCTCTTGGTTTACACCTTGCCTTTCTGTTTATATCAATTGGTGTGTCCCTCTGAGGGCCAGTCTCCACAGCCCCCTCCTTCTTCATTCTAGAATTTGGTTATTTATTGGGCATCTATTAGGTCATGCACCTTTTCTTTAACATCATTTAGCACCTGATTTCTATAAACAAAGAATCTCTCCTTTTTCCTTTCTAGCAACCTCTTTAAGTACTTTGAAGGAATTTCACAATTCCTGATTTCCAATTAGTCCAAGATGCTCAAAATGTTTTACCTGCGATTCGAAATGCTTGATAGGAAAATCTCGAAGTTTCCTATAAGGACAGGCCTCTGTGGGTGGATTGGTGCGGATGGACGACTCCTCCTTGTTTACTAAGAAGTTATTTGCAGCCCTCTAGTGGGTCTTGAATGTAACACAAGAAGGGAAGCTGGAGGCAATGAGCCATGACTTTGCTTGTTCATGCCTTCATTCATTTGTTCATCTATTCAATGTGCAAATGTTAATCGAGTGCCTACTACGTTCCAGGCATGTTTTAGGTGCTGGAGATCCTGCAGTGAACAAAACAAACAACAACAAAGCCATATGCATTGGTTACTTGAGACCAGAAGACAGTAGAACCAATTTTAGCAAAGCCCAGGTGTTTGATTTTGGACATGCTCAGTTGGAGGTAGCTGCTTTTAAAAACGAGTTGGCGTCTCTAGGAATACCTGTAGAGCCCTTGTGAGCAGAAAGCATAGACATTGTGCAAATAACCTCTTTATTTGAGATTGCACCAGATTTAAATTAAAACTGACAACACAACCACATTTATTTATTTATCTATTTCTTTATTTAAATTTCTTTATTGTTAAGGTATAACACATTTGTCCTCATCCCCCCATTCCCATCACAAACCCCTCCCCATACATGCCCCCACCCCTCTGTTGTCCGTGACCACTGATTAGGCTTATATGCATGCACACAAGTCCTTTGGTTGATCTCTCCCCTAAACCCTCACTCTCCCCTACCTTCCCTCTGAGGTTTGACACTCTCATCGATGCTTCCCTGTCTCTGGGTCTGTTTTTGTTCATCAGTTCATGTTGTTCATTATTTCCACCATTTGTCCACTACCCAGAACTGAAATATCATTGCTGACATGTAATGGACCTGTTTGACATTGAAATTGGGACTCAAAAGAACTGTTGGCCCAGAAAGAAACTCACTACAGACTGATTCATTTGCCTCTCAGCATAACCGTTATGGCTTGTCTCACTTTCTGTTCTTATGTGTGTATTTCTAGTAACATGAGCACATTTAGCAAGACACTTGTGAAGACAGTGCATTAGGCCCTGGGTGTGGGAAGGTGGTGAGAGAGAAGTTCAAGCCCTGACACTGCCTTCACGGAGCTGATCTTCCCTTAGTCCTGTTTAAATGCAAACGTCTCCATTTCTGTCTCAGTTCTTTGGTTGTTTTCTTAATGTTCATCACAATTTGTAATGGTTGGATTTCTCTGTGACCTTGTGGACACCCACCTCCTCCTCCCCCAGAACTGGGGTATCTTCAGTGCCTGGCAGGATCTCTGTGTTTGTTTGTTTGTTTGTTTTAAAATATATTTTATTGATTTTTTTACAGAGAGGAAGGGAGAGGGATAGAGAACTAGAAACATCAATGAGAGAGAAACATTGACCAGCTGCCTCCCGCACACCCCCTACTGGGGATGTGCCCGCAACCAATGTACATGCCCTTGACCGGAATCGAACCTGGGACCTTTCAGTCCACAGGCTGATGCTCTATCCACTGAGCCAAATCAGTTTCGGCAGGACCTCCGTTTTTATTTGTTGAAGGACGAGTTTTCAAATGAACAGTTCAGATAACATAGACATAAAGGTAATATAGACTAGCGCATGGCACATTGTAAGTGAGTAAAGAACACAGTTAATTGCTCTCTCAGGAGACCACAGAGGGTTGAAGGCAGTCATGGGAGATTTTCAGGGAAGAAACCGGGAGAGAGCTGAGTCTGAAAGAATGGGCGGAATATGAAGGAAGGAGTGTGTAAGTGGTGGGAAGGGGCATTTCCTGAAAAAGCATTTCTGATTAACCCCTACATGCTGGTCTCTGTGGGGCTGTCCTGCCCCTCACCCCCACCAAATAAATGATATGGGATAAGCCAATCATATGGCCAGTCACTAGGGTTTGTCATGCCATGCCTATGCCACTCTCTTTATCATTGTCATTGTGGCCCCACTGTCTCTTTTTTAAGGAACACCTTGTGTATCGATGCCTATCATAATACCCGGGTTATAGTAAGTGCTCAATAAATATCTGTTAAATGAACACGTGATCCTAGAAGCCACTCTCCATACTCCTGGGATGGCCCTTTGCCCAATATTTAATCTTTATCATAGGGATGGAGACATTTAAAACATGAGTACTTGAGGATTTCCTCTTAAATCTATGTATGATTAATAAGCTTCTCATATTTTCATTTAACAAAGATTTCTTGCATGTGTCCTTTATTATAGAACTTATGCTGTCTCTAAGAAGCTTAGAGTTGAGCTACTATGTAAACAAATAATGACAGTTAACAAGTGTTGATTTATGTACACAATGGTCTGTGAACAATGTAGATGAAGAAATTGTGTGTTGTAATGTGTTAGCTAGAAGAGGCTTCCCATTGTACAAGTTGGCACTGAAACTTTTTTTTATTATTGATTTCATAGAGGAAAGGAGAGAGAGATGGAAACATCAATGATGAGAGAGAATCATTGATTGGCTGCCTCCTGCACACCCCACATTGGGGATCAAGCCCACAACCTGGGCAAGTGCCCTTGGCCGGAATCAAACCCGGCATCTTCAGTTCGCAGGCCAATGCTTTATCCATTGAGAAAAACCGGCTAGGGCTTGGCTCTGAATCTTGAAAGACAAGCTGTGTCCTCTAGTCAGACATGATAGTGTGTGGGGGAGTGGGTAAGAGGGCTGGGTAGACAGTATTCCAGAGAAACGGAATAACAGGTGCAAAGGTGGTGGACGGAGTCTGCGAGGTTTGGGGAATTGGGGCAAAGCACAAGAGCATATGAGTAGCCAGAGAGAACGTGTGGGACTGGATTTTGGGCAGGCAAGCCAATGAGCTCTGTGGATGTCAATTTTTAAGAGGTACTAAAATAAAAAATATAATGCCAATTAATGCAGCTACTAGTAGTTCCGTACATAACTTTCAAAACCTAAATGGTCCTATTCTCTCAAGGTAAGACAGTGCCTTTGAATGTGACTTCAAAAATTCTCCTGAATGGTAATTCCAATTCAATTATGTTATATTCAGTGCATATAATGTTGTTTGTTTTTTTTTTTTAACATAAAGAGGTTTGTGATTCTTATTAATAGAAAATCAAGTTCCTTTCAATTCCACGTTGAAGAGATATTTTAAAAAAATATATTTTATTGATTTTTTACAGAGAGGAAGAGAGAGAGAGATAGAGAGCTAGAAACGTCGATGAGAGAGAAACATTGAACCAGCTGCTTCTTGCACACCCCCTACCGGGGATGTGCCCGCAACCAAGGTACATGCCCTTGACCGGAATTGAACCCGGGACCCTTCAGTCCGCAGACTCTACCACTGAGCCAAACCGGTTTCGGCTGAAGAGATATTTTTTAAAAATTGACCTATTTATGCATAGCCAAATTATTGGCACAGAGCCACCATATTTTCCTGGGTATTCAAAAACATCAGAGAGTTCCATATTCTACCCTGAGAGTTTGCACACACCCTCTGCATGTTCACCAGGCCTCTACATTTGGTGTTCAAAAATATATTCTCTTGCCCAGCAGGCCTGGCTCAGTGGTTGAGCTTCGACGAATGAACCAAGAGGTCAGGGTTCAATTCCTTGGTTAGGGCACATGCCCAGGTTGCAAGCTTGATCCCAGTAGGGGTCGTGCAGGAGGCAGCCGATCAAAGGTTCTCTCCCTCTCTCTCTCTCAAATCAATAAAAATATATTTAAATATATATATATATATATATATATATATATATATATTCTCTTTATGATAACATCAGCCTGCAAGAAGTCATGTGTAAACTTGAAATTGTTGTTCTTGCATTGATTTTTCCGTTTCTGGCTGTTGGATCTAAAGCAAATAATTTTGCTCCCGTTTCCAATTAAACTAATTCCTGCTTTATAGGTTTGTGTTGACAATACGTGTCAAATGCTGGGCACAGTCCAGCATCATGGCCCGCACTCACAAGTGCCTCCTTCGGCGAGGGGGCTGTACTTTTCATCCCTGTTGGACTCAGCTCTCACTAAGTCTTGGGTTGTTGACCCCGCCCAGGCTCCGGGTACTGGAACCTGAGAGAAGGCTCACAGTGCAAAGGTCAGACGGCAGTTGGCGGAGGCGGTGTGCAAAGAAGTTTAAAGAGAGATCTCTGGACTTCCGTTAGCTTGACGACTTCAGCCAGAGATCTGCCAGGCGCCTTTCTATCGGGCCACGCCCCCTTTTGACTTAGCTCCGCCTCTTCCTCCCTAGGAGTAGAAAGCCGACGCCTAGACAGACGCCGACGCGGTTGCTATGGATACGCCTTCCCAAGATGCCTAGCGTGTTGTGTTCCTCTCAGCCAATCAAAGAGGCGAAGCCGCCTCCCCGTGGGCCAATAGGCGGCGAGGCCAGGGCCCGGGACGGTTAAACTGAGCTGCGGGCTGTGGCGGCCGCCGGTGTGACTGGGAGAGGCTTTGGAGTCGGTGCAGCTCCAGCTCCGCGGCTGCAGCGCGATCTGCGGGAGACCCCGGCGGGCCCGGCCATGCCGACCCGGGCGGAGGACTACGAGGTGCTGCACACCATCGGCACCGGCTCCTACGGCCGCTGCCAGAAGATCCGGAGGAAGAGCGACGGCAAGGTGAGCGCCCGCCCCCTGCCCGCCCGCCCCCTGGTCCGCGCAGCGCTTTCGCCAGCTGGTGGCGATCGGTGTTTGCACTGGGTCTCTGGGGGGGGGGGGGGGTATTTTCCTGACTGTTTCTCTTTCTCTTCCATTTCCTTCCTGTTTTTTCCCCTGCTTTGACCTGCTAAGGGCCTTCCACGGGTGACTCCTGAACTATCTTTATTATTTTGTTTATCACAATTTTAAATTATTGATTGGTTGAGTAGTTGATTTGAGAGGAACATTGATTTGTTCCACTTAGGTATGCATGTATTGGTTGCTTCTTGTATGTGCCCTGACCGGTGATCAAACCTCAACCTTGAACCTTGGTGTCTGGGAGGACGCTCCAACCAACCCAGCTTTCCCGCCGGACTGTTTTTATTTTTATTTTTTTAAATATATTTTATTGATCCCCCCTCCCCCCCCCCTTTTTTTTTTTTTACAGAGAGGAAGGGGCCCGTGCTCTATCCACTGAGCCAAACCGGTTAGGTCCGAGCTCCCGAGCTGTTTTTAGAGAAGAGTAGAATCCTGGGACAGGAGGAAGGGGCGGCCACAAGCAGAACCTGAGCTTTCTGCCCGGCAGTCCGAGCTCTTTTAAGATATACTCTTTGATCGGATTATTGGTTTCATATTTCTTTGGAGTGTAGGGAGACTTTATTCAGAAAGAGACAATGGAGAGGCAGCTGCCTGGCTGCGGATGGAGGGATGCACTCGGGTCTTTCCCCGTGGAAAAGCTTGCCTGGCTGGGATGGTCAGGGCCTTGGACTGCCTCTGCCCCACCTTTGACCAAAGCACCATGGCCAACCTCCCACAAAGGGACTGAGGGGAGGGGGTTGGAGGAAGCTTCGTGTGCCTCATCTTCCTCTCTCCCCATGCATTCTTTTCTGCTTAAATATTAGAGGACGGCCATGGAATTAAATTCAGGGGTCCTTACGTTCATTGAACTAAGTTAGATGATAATGACTATGTGATCTATTTAATAGCAAAGTACTGAGTGACCACTGGCCTACAGCATTGTCACAAACAGCGTGATGGTGGTCACGGAGCTCTCATCCTTCGGTTTTTGAGTTCATTCAGACCGTGGACATTTCTTATTTCAGATACTAGTTTGGAAAGAACTTGACTATGGCTCCATGACAGAAGCTGAGAAACAGATGCTTGTTTCTGAAGTGAATTTGCTTCGTGAACTGAAGCATCCAAACATCGTTCGTTACTACGATCGCATTATTGACCGGACCAACACAACACTGTACATTGTGATGGAATATTGCGAAGGAGGGGACCTGGCCAGCATCATTACAAAGGGAACCAAGGAAAGGTGAATGAATCTCCCATGTAAGGTGGAAATGGGCCCAGTTCGCTCTGGTTAAGCATCCTGTTTTATTAGGATCAAGGACCAAGTACTTAGTGAGGGGAAGAGTGTTCTTGCATTTGGAGGGTCTACAGAACTTTAGGAAACCTCTTGTGAATCAACACCCATATTTCATATCAAAATATATTTATTTCCCTACTTGTACCCCAGATAGTTCACCATTCCCTCTTTGTAATGGTTTTATTCAGAAGTTCTATGCTGTGTGACTGCTTTGATTTCAGGCAATACTTGGAGGAAGAGTTTGTTCTCCGAGTGATGACTCAGTTGACGCTGGCCCTCAAGGAATGTCACAGGCGAAGTGACGGCGGTCACACGGTGCTGCACCGGGACCTGAAGCCAGCCAACGTCTTCCTGGACGGCAAGCAGAACGTCAAGCTCGGAGACTTTGGGCTGGCTAGGATATTGAACCACGACACCAGTTTTGCAAAAACATTTGTTGGCACTCCTTATTACATGTCTCCCGTAAGTATTTCAGAATTTAGATACTTTTTAAACCTCTTAATGCTAAGCATTCAGATGCAGGGAAAGTGAGTTGTTTTGATTGTGTGTTTGGTAATAGCCAATAACCAAGAATAAATAACACTGTTTCACTTTTGATTTATCTGGTTTCCAAAGAGACCACCAGACCATTAAACTCAACTATAGCAGCAATTCAAGCCAGGCTTTTTTTTTTTTTTTTTTTTTTAATAAAACTACCACATGCTAAATTTACAAAATTGAAACAGGCTTTTTTCTCTGGCCTCAAGAGATGTGTTTCCCAAAGTGCTGTAGGTCCTGTACACCAGCTTGGACTCCTTTGGTGTGCTTTTCCGAAAGCAGAGTCCTGGGCCCTGAGCCCCAGTCCAATGAGTTTGGATCTCCGGACAGGTCCCTGCTCTGTTTTTCTCCTACTTTTCAATTTGGACTCTGCATTTTAATACTTTCTGGATGATTCTTCTGCATGGAGATTTGGGGCTCAGAGCCTCATCAGTTCAGATAACAAGTTTTTACAGTGTTAACTTTTGGTATTTGTCCTTTTTTTGTTGTTGTTGTTGACTTTTCCTTATAAGGGAGCCGCTGAGTCTACTTAATCTATTTTCTTGATTGCTGGATAATAATTTTGTTTCCAAAATTTCTCACCATTCTGAGAAATGGTGATGCATGTGAATTATTCTGCCTTCCTTGTTATTCATTTCCTTGGCAGATAGCTCTCAAAATGAAATTGCTGGATTGGGGCAAAGGCTATGAACAGTTTATGGCTCTAGATTCTGCCTGATGGCTTTTGAAGAGTTTAAACCAAAAAGTGATAGCCCCAGGGGGGTGTATATGAAATCTGATCATACAAAGGTGCAGAGGGATTAATTGTTTTGGCAGTTCATAAACAATTCCGGGCTTTTCTAAATCTCTTTTAGTTGTGTCAACCAGTCTGACTACAGTATAAATTTTGTATTAGTGATTTTGTTTTTCACTAATATTAGACATGGCCAGAACAGCATCATTTTTCTCACTGGATCACATCCCAAATAGAAAGCCTTTAACATAAAGGAAAATTATACAGAAGTGGTTCTTGGAAAATTTGAAACCTACAAGATTCTTTTGTTCCTTTTCCCTCCTGCCCTTGTAATGAGATCTGTTCAGCCTTCTCTGAGGCATTGCCAGAAATGGTATCAGCCTCAACCTGGTGGACTTAAAGCACTAGGGAGCCTCCTGAAGATTTTGGTTCTTGCCTCTGTGGCCTCTGTTGCTCCTGAGAGTGTGAGAAAGACAATTAAAATAGGAAATGAGAACGTTAGTTTGTGGTTTATGTAGTAGACTAAGGAAAAATATAAATGAAGACCTTCACTTAGCCATTTATGTCCACATCCATTTAAATGGGGGCCAGATGTATGCCTTGGTTATTCTGAAAGTTTCTTTGGTTCTTTCAAAACCGAGTTTCTAAATTATTAATGTCACCAAGGTAGAGGTCTCCTATTCACCTTTGAATAGTCAGTGCCTCACTTCTAGTAACAATAAATATCTGTGAAGGAAAAGAATTGAATGAGTTATACATGATAAAGTATATTAGGATAAGATCATGGCCCTTTTCCATGGTAAAATTGAAGATAAAGTATACATTTTAAAACAAAATAAACTTTTAATTCTTCAAACTTTCTTACCCTTTTCCCTCTTAAGGAGCAGATGAGTCGCATGTCCTACAATGAGAAATCGGATATCTGGTCACTAGGCTGTTTGATGTATGAGTTGTGTGCATTAATGTAAGTAAGTTGAAGACAGATTTCTAGTCTGAGGTTTATATTCCGGGGTTTGTCACCTTTCACTGGGTTCAGTTATTTGACCATCCATTTATCTTCAAATCTGAAAGAATCCTACCTTGGGTTAAAATTGAAGTAGGTAGACAGGTAAAAAAAAAAAAAAAAAAAAAAAAAAAAATTATTTAGAAATTAATACTATAACCCCTGAGCCTGGAGGTTGATTTGTTCAAACTCCTAACCTGGTTAGATGCTTCCTTGTTAGACTGATGCTCAGCTCAAGGGGAGAGCAAATAGGTCAGGCCCGTGGAAGAGACAGACAAGATCTGGGGGTAGCTCTGGCGATGTGGAAACCAAGAAAGAGCTCCAATTTTTTCTCTTCTAAGCTATTCTGTAGAGCAGCAATTCTCAACCAGGGAGAGAGAAGCAATTTTGCCCCCCATGGAACATGTGACAATGGCTGAAGACATGTTTAGTTGAGACAAACAAGGATAGCTACTGGCACCTAGTGGATAGAGGCCAGTGACAGTGGGAATAAATCCTATGATGTTCAGGACACCCCACAACAAAGAGCTACGTGACCACAAATGCCAGTAGCGCCAAGGTTGGGAAACTTAGCTATGGAAGAAAATCCCAGAAGCAGAAACATAAATACAATCTGGAGCTTACACTGCTTTTGATTTGCTTCCTAATTTATATTTATTTATTTATTTATTTATTTATTTATTTTTCCTTTCAGGCCTCCGTTTACAGCTTTCAACCAGAAAGAATTAGCTGGGAAGATTCGAGAAGGCAAATTCAGGCGAATTCCCTATCGTTACTCTGATGAATTGAATGACATCATTACAAGGATGTTAAATTTAAAGGTAGGGATTATAAGATTATTCTGTCTGTTTCTTTCTTTCAGTTAAGTTTTGGGATGTGTGCTCTCTCCCGTAGAGCAATGAAACTGAAGAAACATTAAATGCATTTCCTTAGCTAAGACTACTGTTAACACAAGTGAAAACATGTATAAATTTGGCAAATTGCACGTCCTTGCTGGCCTGCCCTCTGTGCTTTCTCTGTCTTCTCCCACTCACTCCCATGCTAGCAGATGGTCGATGGCAAGAAAAGATTGCATCCAGCACCCAGATCCTTAGTTCCCCCATCCATGCCTACCTCAATGTGGCAGATGGTATGGGAGGGGCCACATAAGACTTAATTACTTTGCTGCTTGCTCCAGTGGAGAGATTGGAGACCACAGATAGTGTGTGTTTATGGGTGGGGTGGTGGTGGTGGTGGTGGTGGTGGTGGTGGTGGTGGTGGTGGTGGTTGGGCAGTTAGAGGGTAGGAGTGTCTAAGAAGAGTGGAAGGGAAATAACTCTTAAGAGATTACGTGGGAAAATCCTGGCCAGGGGATGGCGAGGGAAATGCCCAAGAGATGAGGCTGGTGTAGAGTTAAATGCTGTGAGATTGCAAAGAAGGATGCAGATGGAGTAATGGGACTTGAGGGCTGAGAGGGAGCATCTCGCTCCCTGTAGTTTAGAGATGCTCTCACACAGACCCTGGCCAGGCTACCGAGCACCTGCCCAGGGATGAAGCCCTCAGGTTAAAGGGGGAACAGAGGTGAGTAAAAGTCTGCGTTACTGTTTGGACCCAGCGCCTCGTGTATGAAAGCCACAAGTGGACTGACTTTTCCAGATGCTTACCATCCAGAAAGGGGTTTCTCTTTTGCTTGGAAACATGTGCCCTTTTAAGGGAGCCGCTCTTTTGGGACGCGTGTGCTGTTACAAAACTGACTCTAACACTGAATGTTTTCCCCAGGATTACCATCGGCCGTCCGTGGAGGAAATTCTGGAGAGCCCTCTGATAGCAGACCTGGCTGCGGAGGAGCAGAGGAGGAACCCTGAGAGAAGGGGGCGGCGGTCCGGAGAGCCGGAGAAGCTGCAGGACTCCAGCCCGGGGCTGAGCGAGCTGAAACTGAAGGAAATGCAGTTGCAGGAGCGGGAGCGAGCCCTCCGGGCCCGAGAGGACAGGCTGGAGCGTAAGTCTGAGTGGTGGGGGCGGAGCAAAGGAGAGCGATCGGAGGGCGGTGTGATGAGTGTGAGGCTCTAAGTGAGGACATTCTTGCCCTGGCCAGATAGCTCGGTTGGTTGGAGCGTCATCCCAATATGCCAAGGTTGCGGGTTCAATCCCTGGTGAGGGCACATGCCTGGGGTGCAGGCTCGATCCCCAATGTGGGGAGTGCAGAAGGCGGCCGATAAATGATTCTCTCACATCATTGATGTTTCCATCTCTCTCTCCCTCTCCTTTCATCTCTGAAATCAATAAAAACATATATATATTAAAAAAAAAACTATTTAAAAAAAGAGAGAACCTTCTTATGAATACTTGAGAAAGCAAACTGCTTTGTAAAATATGTAAGTCAAGCTTTCTGGCATCTTCCTGGTGCTGCCTCTTCCTCTGAGGTCAGCTGCCATTGTTGGGTTCTAACTTTATACTTTGCCATAGACTTTGCATACTTCAATGTGTACATTACATTTTACTGTTACTCTTTCCTTTCTGTTTCTTAACATATGCATGCACCACAGTTTTTCCATTGCAAAGATAGATCTTAGGATTTGCTAACTTTATGATAACCATTACTTCTGTGGCTGATCTAGCAACAGTCCAGGTCTAAAATCCTACCGTGTGCAGGACTAAATATGCTCTGGCAATTCAATAATGTGGATACAAGATATTCTAGGTTTATAAATATTCTGAGGGCTATTCACTGATTAGGTACAATTAGTTGTTTTGTTTTTAATATATTTTTATTGATTTCAGAGAAGAAGGGAGAGGGAGAGAGATAAAACATCAATGATGTGAGAGAATCATCCCAGGCATGTGCCCTTGACTGAGATAGAATCTGGACCCTTCAGTCCCCAGGTCCACACTCTGTCCACTGAGCCAAACTGGTTAGGGCAAGTGCTAGTTAGTGTTTGATGGTGAAAGTCTGGCAACTCCATTAAGAGACAGGTGCTACAGACCAGCACGGTCAGGGTGGCCTGGGAATACAGCGAGAACTCTTTCTCAGAGCATTACTAATCGCTGCTCAGCAAGCTGGTCTCGGTGATTAGGAAAAACGGTAAAATGAGCACGTGTAAATTGTTTTATACCCAAAGCCACTTGCTAATTTTTTTCTCACTCCATGTCTTTTCTAAAGAGAAGGAACGTGAGCTGTGTGTTCGTGAGAGACTGGCGGAGGACAAACTGGCAAGAGCGGAGAGTCTGATGAAGAACTACAGCCTGCTGAGGGAGCAGAGGCTGCTGTCCCTGGCCGGCGGCCCAGGTAGGAGAACCAGCTCAGCAGACAGGCTGCTGCGCGTGAGGACATGGGCTCCGGTTTGCCTTCCAGGGGCTTGGAGGGCCTTCTCGTTTTTTAATGTTTTTATTGATTTCAAAGAGGAAGGGAGAGAGTGATAGAAACATCAATAATGCAGCTGCCTCCTGCATGCAACCCGGGCATGTACCCTGACTGGGAATCACACAGTGGCCTCCTGGTTCATAGGTCCATGCTCAACCACTGAGCTACCCCAGCTGGGCTTAACACTTTTTCATTTTTATAAAATTATTTTATAAATTGTGAGATTTACAATTTATATAGGTATTCGTGTAGGGACTTGTGGGAATAAAGGTGGATATGTTTGAAATAGTGGCATTAAGGCTAAAAAAAAAAAAACCCAAAAAAGTGTGCTTTGAAGCAGAAACAATGTTTGAGATAGGAAGCCGGGTGCAATTGGAGGGCAGTCCTTCTTGCAGCCTACAACTACTTCTCGGCCTGGCCCTTCCTTTCCTTTGGCCTGGAGTTTGTTCTTCAGATAACCCTGTGGCTTCTTATTTCCTCCCTTTCATCATGTCGCTGCTCAAAAGTCACCTTATTATGAGGCTCTCCTCACTGTGGCCACCGCCAGCACCCCTGTTTCTCTTTCTCAGTGTTATTCCCCTTCAAAGAGTCTTCATTTGTGTTTGTTTATTGGGATCTGGTCTCTCCTACTAGAATAGGGCCTTTGTTTGGTCCACAATGGCTCATACCATGAGTTCATAAAATTTGAATGTATTTCCTTTAAATGAATGTAAAGGAAAAAATAAAAAGGTTCTGGAATTCAAGCCCGCAGATCTCCACCTCCAGTAGTCTGTCAGAAGCTAACAGTGCTACCACTTCCAAGGAAATTTTTTTCATGTAAAAAGCCCAGTTCATTTTTTTTTTTTTTTTTTTTTTTTTTTTGCTATATTGTTACTTGATTTACCTTTTCCACCATGAATTTGCTTAGTTTCTTTTTGAAGCAAGATTTCAGTCAATGAATCAGCTTTGAAGGAAGTGTTTTTGAATATTTACCCCAAACTGGAAGTGTCCGTAAAAAAGCATTTCTGCTTCCATACTTTTCTGGACGACCTGTGTTCTAGGTAGAATGGCACCTGGTTTCAGGACTGGAGTAGATGATACTGATTTCCAGAAGCTGTATGTCGTGGCCCATAATCCCCAGTGCATTTAACTTCCAGAGAAAAGGTGATTGTTAAGGAAATAAAACCTATGTTCCTTGATACTTGCACATCCCAGGATTATTTTTTCAGTGCCGTGGCTTAAAAGACCGATTGATTTTTTACCACCCTCAAGCTCTCAACTTCCCGGAGATGCTAAGATAGGTTCCAGATTTCAAAAGAACCGAAAGAGGGTCTATCTTTGCCAAGTGTGATAAATCTGTTCAAATAACTCAGAAATCCTTTCTCCTCCTAAAGAACTTGGAGCTCTCCCATCCTCGATAATGAAGAAGAAAGTTCATTTCGGTGGAGAGAGTAAGGAGAACGTCCTGAGGAGCGAGAACTCGGAGAGCCAGCTCTCCTCCAAGACCAAGTGCAAAGACCTGAAGAGGAGGCTCCACGCTGCCCAGCTGCGCGCCCAGGCCCTGGCGGACATCGAGCATGTGTACCAGCTGAAGAGCAGGCAGGTCCTGGGCATGCGCTAGCCGCCGGGGCCCAGCGCTGGTGCCAGCCCCTCCAAGGCTCATGTTCAACTGCTGAGCTCGGTGCACGTGGTTCTGGGAGCCGAGCCTTTCTGTGCGGTGAGGGTGATGTTTTGGAATTGCCTTGGCCGTTCTTCAGCGATAACTGCACAAAACCGTCCACACCTTTTTCTTTTTTAAAAGAACACTTTCTAGAACGAATGATACTTTCTGGTTGGGGTTTTAATCCCATGTGTGGTTATCACTGGAACATGACACTCTAAATGTTAGAGGAAAATGATATCAGGAAAAAAAATATGTAGCCACTTAGATGTTTTACATGACTGAGTGGTGTGCTTACAGTTGTCATGTCTAGATTTACAACTTCAAGTCTGAGGTGTTAAATATTCTAGAGCTTAGAAAACCTAATTGATCCAAGCTGGTCACTGACACCATGACAATTTTGCTCTTTAGTGGCAAATCTGTCGCCTTTTGTGAAAATCCATCACTGTGATGTCGATATTCTTTTTTCTTTTTATTCTACCTAACTGTATATACTCGGGCTGTCATGGGCTCATCTGTTTCTCATTAAATAAACGGATTCTTTAGTTTTCCTGTATTTGTGTGTCTTGCATTTGTTGGGTTTATGACTCGTAGGCACTGATGCGCTCACTTCACTACCCCCCTCATTAATCAATTGGTCAGCTCGTGTGAGCCAGGCATGAAGATACAGCAATAAAGAAACATGGACATCCCTGCCTTCATGGAGATTCCATTCAAATAAGGCAGGATAGAAAATGAGCCACACAGCCAAAACCGGTTTGGCTCAGCGGATAGAGCATCAGCCTGCGGACTGAAAGGTTCCAGGTTCAATTCCAGTCAAGGGCATGTACCTTGGTTGCGAGCACATCCCCAGTAGGGGGTATGCAAGAGGCAGCTGATTAATGATTCTCTCTCATCAATATTTCTAACTTTCTATCCCTCTCTCTTCCTCTGTAAAAAATTGATAAAATATTTTTTTTTTAAAAGAAGAAAAGAAAAAAAAAAAAAAAAAGAAAATGAGCCACACATGGAGACTGGTAGTGCTAAGGAGCAGAATGAAGCAGGAAAGGGAACAGGGAATGGGGGGTTGCCATGTTGGAAGAGGTGGTGATTAGGGGTGCCACAGGAAACCGAGGAGGCAGAGGCATGGAAACTGAATTTTTAATCTGATTGTGCTTCCTTCTCCATGCTCCAAAGCCGACAAAACCTTATTTTCTCTTCACCCCTAAAGCTGGGATCATCTGGGGCTTAAGGGCAATGGGAGTAGATTAGAAGGGGGTCTCTTTGATGGGAGAGTCCTCCCAAATGATGTTTCTCCAGCTTCTCTTTCAAGATTTATCAAGATAGGGGTGAAGGGGGTTAGTTGGGGGCGGGGGAACCAAGGGGACATCTGTAATACTTTCACAATAAGAATAAATGTAAAAATAAAAAAAGGATTTATCAAGATGCCCAGCTAGACACATAACAGACTTTACATCAGCAACACCTGCTCATAGGCATTTGAAAAAGCGTCATTGGTTTTAAGATTAACCAGCTGTCCTGTGCGACAGCAACCACTAGGTGGCGCCATGGTCCTGTTAGAAAGTCTGACACCCAGGGAGCCAGGGCAATTGGCTGCTGCTGAGAGAGGGCTTAAACCGCTTGGTCCATTATTTCATTCACTCCTCACAACATCCCCTGATTAACAGGCATCACCAGTGCCACATTTTTCGTGGGGAAACCGAAGCTCGAATCACAGCTGGGAAGAGGCAGCTGGTCTCTGAACTGACATTTTAGACTCCAAAGCCTGTGCCTTTAACTATGACCCTCCACAGGACAGCCAAAGGTCAGCTTTGTTCCCAAACCTCCTGGCGTCCCCTAATGATTGCGGGGTTAAGGATGAATGACATTTGAATGACGGAGGAAGGGTGGACGCAGAGCTTGCATGGTTAGGGTCCAGGGACCTCACAGCTTGGCTAGAGGAGATGGGCTAGTGCCAGCCGGTGGGGATCAGTGATCTTCAGTGACCCCAGGAGGACCCCAGGCCTCCCCCCTTCCTCAGCACCTTCCATCATTCCACCTATGGCTCTTCATCCCCTCAAAAGCCCAGCCCCGATGCCCAGCCTCCTTAGGCTGCCGGGCTTCCTCCCAGGGACCACTTCCCTCGGGCCAGTCCTCCCCTGAGGGACTGTCTGTCCTCCTTCCAGGACAGAGCCCATTCCTCCAGGCATGCTAGCTCCCTCAAGGTGCCCTCCTAGAAGAAGCTGGGGGTGAAAGCCACGCTGACACCAGCAGCCATTTATTTATTTATTTTTAAAAAAATATATTTTATTGATTTTTTTACAGAGAGGAAGGGAGAGGGAGAGAGAGTTAGAAACATCCATCAGCTGCCTCCTGCACACCCCCTACTGAGGATGTGCCCACAAACCAAGGTACATGCCCTTGACTGGAATCGAACCTGGGACCCTTGAGTCAGTCCAACGCTCTATCCACTGAGCCAAACCGGCTAGGGTAGCCAGCAGCCATTTTAAAAGAAATGGAGAGCTCCATAGGCACCTAGGAGAAAGGATTATTGTTCACTGTGACGTGGTGGCTGGCAAGCCAGGGGTCCATACTGCTCGGTGGATTTCAGGGCAGGAGGGGGGTGAAAGCAGCCTTCCCCAGGGACGTGCTGTGGATGGCGGGGCTGACGGAACCTGGGGGTGTGGGCGGCCCTGTGCCCCCCCTTCCCCGTTACCTGGCTCACGTCCCCCTCCTCGTCCACTGGAGAGCCGAGGTCAGCTCCCTGAGAGCTGCCGAAGTGGCTGTTCAGTATCTGGTCCCTGGTGCTCCCTCCCAGGTTGGATGGGACACCGTATTTAGAGGGGCTGATGGGGGTGGGGAAGGGCATGGGGACATGGAGACGGGGTGTCTCTGTACATGGGGTCTGTGGGGTGTGTGCCCACATGTATGTGTATGTACATTTAAAGCACAACTAGGGTCTCAATTCATAGACTCATTTGCTTTAAAAAAAAAAAAATATATATATATATGTATTGACTTTTTACAGAGAAGAAGGGAGAGGGATAGAGAGTTAGAAACATCAATGAGAGAGAAACACTGATCGGCTGCCTCCCGCACACCCCCTACTGGGGATGTGCCCCCAACCAAGGTACATGCCCTTGACTGGAATCGAACCTGGGACCTTTCAGTCCACAGGCTGACGCTCTATCCACTGAGCCACACCCGTTTCGGCTTCATTTGCTTTTTCAAATGGGCAGGCATTGTCTCAGGTGCTTTCGTTCTCCCGAGAAAGCCGCCGTGTCTCTGTGGGATCTATCCCAGCTTCCCCGGAGGCGGGCCTTCCCCGGAGCCTGGAGCGCCCAGCCTGCGGGGCCCACAGCCCGGCCTCGGGACGCACCTGCGCACCCACAGAACGAGCAGGTGCTGCTCGGAGGGGCCCTGGCCCGGCTCTGCTCCTGGGGCCTCAGGGCCCGTTACCCCGGGGAATGAACAGCGGGCAGAGCAGGCAGAGGCCTCCCCACCGGGCCTGGATGCCTGGTGGGGAGACGCGGGTTCCGTACCAGTCAGATGAGGAATCTCCCCGGGCTCCCGCTCGGTGCGGGGTGCGGGGCGGGCCGGCCTGCCACAGGAACCACGTCCAGGTGCTTCCCATCCGGCCAAACTCCGAACCGGTGTGCCCGGCCGCGGCCCTGGCTCGGGCTTGTTTGTTTCGTCTCCCGGAGCTTCCGCGTCCTCCTCTGAGAAAAGGTCAGTGACACGGATGCGGGTAAGCGGGGCACACACTGTGGGCCGGGGCCTGGGACGGGACTGGTCCGTGAATTCATTCCCCCTGCCTTCCAGGAAGATGTAAGGCGGCGTGTAAGAAAACACGGGCTTTAGTATAATAAAACCCGTCTGTTGGAAGGACAGTGGAAGGGCGACGCCAGGAAGGAGTCCAACGGGAATATTGCACCTAATTCCACACTATTGTTGGGCAAACGATTTGGCTGCCAGCTTCCTAGTGGCCAAGGCAAAAGGTGGGGCGGGGGTGTGTGTGTGTGTGTGTGTTACTTATCCCCTGTAGGCCCCTGAAGTAATGGCACTCCACTCACACAGGAAATGTGGGCGCATCCAGAGGCCTCTCCTTTGCGCCCGTCTAAAGGGAACGCCCTGTGGTGGAGGAAGCATCCTCCGAGATGGCCTGTTTGATGCCCAGGCCCTGGGCTCTCCCCTCCACCCCTCCACCCTTCCACGCAGACTGCTGGCACCTCCCACACCAGCTCAGCACATGCTGTTGTTGCTGGCAGAGCAGTTTGGGGAATATGCTAGTGTGCTTTGCCTTTTTTTTTTTTTTTTTTTTAATTGACTATGGTATCACATAATTGTCCTCATTCCCCCATTCCCATCCCAAACCCTCTCCCCACACATGCCCCCACCCCCCTGTTGCCACGGCCACTGGTTAGGCCCATATGCATGCACACAAGTCCTTGTACTTTGCCTCTTTGTTCTCCCCTCCCCTATTCTTGAGCTATGCCTCGGGGAGGATTCGGATGGCTCTAACAAGACTATGGAGAGAAAGAAAAAGTCTCTGTTCAGCGTGTGACATCACAGGCACCGAGGCAAGACTGTTGAGTCTCCGCACTGGGCTTTGCAAGAGAGAAAAGGGACATTTCGGACATTTGCTGAGCCCCCGTGAGTCGATGCCCAGCACCAGCCTGGAGGCCCCAGTTGGAGTCTGACATCGGGCAGGGACAGCAAGCAACCTGGACGCGGTGTGGGCACATCCGCTCCTCAGGCGTGGCTAGGCACACACGTCGCCTGGGCACCTCGTTAACATGCAAACTTGGAACCAGTGGGTCCAGAGTGGGGCTTGAGAGACCACGTTTCTAGCACGTGGCCGGGGGATACTGACGCTGCCGTGCATGGGCCACACTCTGAGGATAGCAAGGCTGAACAAGCGAAGGGGGTAGACCCTGCTCCGCCCCAGGCCAGAGGGGGGTGGGTGTGTGAGAAGCTGGGCT